TGGGAATGGTACTTGGGTTGCAGGTTCATGCCCTTGATGGGGAATAGAACCTGGGACCCTTGGGTACATGGGGTGATGCTCTTCTAATCACTGAGCACACAGGCCAGGGCGTATGTAAGATATTTTATCTTCTGGGCCTTGGAGCCCGAGAAGCCTTTTTGGCGGTTTGTGAAGCGGGACGTGCAGACGCCCTTCGCCGTGGAGCTGCAGGTGCTCGACGGCCACGAGCCTGACGGAGGGCGGCTCCTCGGCCGGACGGTGTCATACCCAGACTCAGAGGAGGCGCAGTGCTGAAGTGAAATTCTCAGGTGCGTGTGGGCTCTCTTCCTGCCGCCAGGTGAGCCCGGGCTGCGGCCGGAGATGCGCCAGCAGGTGCGCTTGGCCCTTACTGGTTGCTGTACTGCGTTAGGAGGGTTTGGCATTTGACTAAATAAGCGGCCGCACAACCAAAACAAGAGTGTTTGATGTTAGGCTCTGACCTATGTACTTCGTTTGCATAATCTCATTTAATTTATATGATATCCCAATGAGGTGGGTACTGTTATGCAGATTAAAAAAAAAAAAAAGCCGGATCAGGGTCGGTAGGTATGCCGTCCACTTTGCTATGAACTACTCTACAGGTCTCAGCATCAGCCGTACAGGTCTCCGCAAAATGATGGTCAAGGAAGCTATTGCCATGTCACCCTTCCCTAGTGGCCTGGGTACACTGGGCCTCGCCTCCGTTTCACACTCCTCTCTACCACAGAGCACACTTCAGACTTTCCTGCCTTCTTCGCCTAAAGTCATCTCTAGGTATTTCTTTCCTTGATCTAAATAGACAGCTGAAATATGAATACACAACAAAAAGCCAAGGGTTGATGCAATGCAACACAAAATTTTGTTTTAAGGTTCTTTTTTTAAAAAAAATCTTTTTATTGATTTCAGAGAGAGGAAGGGAGAGGGAGAGATAGAAACATCAATGATGAGAATCATTGATTGGCTGCCTCCTGCTGGATACCCAGGAATGGAGCCTGCAACCCAGGCATGTGCCCTTAGATTCTTGATTCTATGTCTACTCCTCTTGCAGATAATTTATCATAGAATCATATGAAGGGTAAACTCATCGATGAAAAAGTACCCTATAGGTTTCCCTTCCCCTAAGGACCTTCCTTTCCTTTTCAGTAGTGATTCAGGGAGCTGTTTTCTTCCTTTTGGTTCACATGAACCCACTAAATAATTTAGAAAGATGCCTAAAAGGAAAGCAAAATAATACAATAATATAATAAATAATACAATACTTTCCCTTTATAATATTCCCTTCTCTAGGACCTGGACCTTTCCCCGGGATCATTGATCTCTTTGGTGTTGGAGGGGGCCTGTTGGAATATCGAGCCAGCCTTCTGGCTGGCCATGGCTTTGCCACAATGGCTCTAGCTTATTATGGCTTTGAAGATCTCCCCAAGGAATTCGACAGCAGGAGTACGGACTACTTTGAAGAAGCCCTGTGCTACATGCTCCAACATGCTCAGGTTCTCCTAAGGTCCTTTACTGTATCATTCTCTCCATATATCTCCAGCAGGTATCATTTTGCACGCATTTGTGCCAGTGATACTCTCCTGATGGTGCTCTACTCCTCTTTCACAGAGATTTCTTTTGGAGACTCCTTGACTTTATGTGCCTAGTTCCACTTTCTCTGTCAGATGGAGTCACAATACAGAATCAACCATAAAATACATGTGAGATTTTATTTAAAGGAATTATTTAGTAATATTAAAATTCCTATTGTTACGGAGCTTCTGAGTTGTTAGTTTTGCAAACTTGTTTTTTAATCTTTTTCTGACAACAGAGTATGTTCTCAGATTTTGATCAGAATTTGCCCACCCATTTCAGAAAATAAGAACTACTGAAATCTCACTTTGTTTGTATAAAGTTAATCATTTGCTGACATATTTTGATGGGGTCTGATAAATGATTCACTTCTTGAAACTGAACTTGGTTCCACGCAGTTACATACGCAGGCATGTTGAGACATTGGCCATGCCCACCTAAACTTGACAGGCTCCATGACTCAGCATTCTCTAATGGACAATCGATTCTCTGGAATGTGTGTAACCAATTCCCAAACTTGCCAGTGAGTTAAAGATGTGTTTGCTGTGTGTCCAGCCAGATATTCTTTACTATGTGGGAAGAAACTCCTATCAGCTCAGTTTGATTCTCTTGTGCCCAGTTCACATATTACATCTAGCGGCACATCTAGTTGCATTTAGAAAAACGTTTTTCTATTGGGTAGGTTCTTGACTCTTGACTCTTCTCCCTGCTTTTCTTCCAGGTAAAAGGCCCAGGCATTGGCCTTCTGGGCATTTCTTTAGGGGCTGATATTTGTCTCTCCATGGCCTCATTTTTGAAGAACATCTCAGCTACAGTTTCCATCAATGGATCTGGGTTCAGTGGAAGCAAAGCCATCTGCTACAAGGATACTTGCATCCCACCATTGGGCCATGACCTGAGGAGAATCAAGACACATTTCTCAGGCCTCCTGGACATTGTGGATATACGGAATGACATTGTAGGAGGGTGTGAAAACCCCAGCATGATTCCAATAGAGAAGGCCCAGGGGCCTATCCTCTTCATCGTTGGTCAGGACGACCATAACTGGAGGAGTGAGTTATATGCCCAAATAGCCTCTGAGCGGCTACAGACCCATGGGAAGGAAAAACCTCAGGTCATCTCTTACCCTGGCACGGGGCATTACATTGAGCCTCCTTACTTTCCCATGTGCGCAGCTTCCCTGCACAGGTTACTGGAAAGGCCTGTGGTCTGGGGTGGGGAGCCCAGGGCTCATTCTAAGGCCCAGATAGATGCTTGGAAGCAAATTCTGGCCTTTTTCTGCACACATCTTGGAGGTACCCAGAAAGGAGCTTCTCCCAAATTGTAATGCATTGGTTTGTTGTTGACATGAGAGATACAAGTCCAAGTCTAGTGTTTAATAATCACACGGGAATAAATTGTTCCCTGAATCATATCCACTTCATGTCATTGGTATTAATGTTATATTTTGGGTAACTTTTTTGAAGGTTATTTTTTCACTAATTTTACTAATGTAGCACATGCCTATTGTAGAAGATGCAATTAAAGATATATAACAAAGCCCTCCTAGCCGGTTTGGCTCAGTGGTTCGATTCTGGTCAAGGGTATGTACCTTAGTGGCAGGCTCCTCCCTGGTACTGTAATAATATTAAACAATAATAAACATACTATATATGTTATATATGTGAGATCATATAGTATTTGTCTTTCTCTGACTGACTTATTTCACTTGCATAATACTCTCTAAGTCCATCCATGCTGTCGCAAAAGGTAAGATTTCATTCTTTTTTATGGCTGAGTAATATTCCATTGTACATATGTACCACAGCTTTCTAATCCACTCCTCCGCTGATGGACACTTGGGTTGTTTCTATATCTTGGCTATTGTAAGTAATGCTGCAGTGAACAAAGGGTGCATATATTCTTTCGAATTAGTGTTTGGCTTTCTTCAGCTATACACCCAAAGGTGGAATCAAGAAGTGCTGATAGCCCTGGCTGGTTTGGCTCAGTGGCTAGAGTGTGGGCCCAGAGACTGAAGGGTTCTGGGTTTGATTCCGACCAAGGGCACATGCCAGGGTTGCGGTCTCGATTCCCAGTAGGGGGCATGCAAGAGGCAGCCGATCAATGATTCTCTCTCATCATCAATGTTTCTATCTCCCTCTCTTTTCCTCTCTGAAAGCAATAAAAATATATTTTTTTAAAAAAGAATTGTTGATCTATTTTACCAGAATGATAAAAAATAATAATACAAACCATAAAATGAAGTAATTTTCTGAGACTGGTGAGTTGAGAGACAACTTAAAAGTCAGGTACCACTTCAGTGTACCATGTATATTAGAGGAGAGAATTTTTGCAATCTAACGTTGTAGATATAGTACCTTATTATTAAACAATAATAAACACGCTTCACTTCAGTGTTTTTCCATCTTTATTCACTATACCCTACAGGAAAAAATACATTTTACATCATGACCTAGGACATACACCCTTGTATGTATGCTTATTTTTTGTTTCGTGGTTTTGTTTGTTTTTTTGCTTTTTTGTATGTATGTTTATAATCTAAATTATTAAATCACATAAAACACACCTTAACTCAAGACCATTCAAAACTTGGTATATAAACTACATAAACTAGAATCAGGAAACAATTCATTTCCATAGTTTATAATCTGTATTGTCTAAAGGCAATTATCTAAAATTATGAGTATAAATGAAATTAATATTACTACTTGAGACAATATATTACTCCACAAAATGCATTCAGGAGAAGCAAAAAAGACAGGTGATTATTGATTACCAATTTTCTTCCTCTTTCTCTCCTATACCCATCAGTGAGACCTGATGATATTACTACTTCCTTCCTCAGACTGCCTCCTCCATATCTAAAGCAAAGCCATGCTTCAGTTTGGGCACTCTTTTTAACGCCTACCTGGTCTCACAGTTTAATCTTTTCCCCAAACATCTTCACTCTGATGCCAAAGTAATTTTTCTAAAATACAATTCTGATCATGTATGCTTATCTAATTAAAATCTCAATGATCTGCCTCCTGCTCCTCTTAGCCACATCTCTCACTGTTCCTCTTAAAACAGTACACTCTCAACATGTCGAACTTCTTGCCTTTACATAAGCTGTCCCTCTGTAAATCTCTCTCTGACCCACAACATGTGCTGTTGACCATTCTGTCCCTGGTTCCCCAGTCTATGTTATATGTACCTGTGTATAGCAGCTACTATAACATGTTTGGACTTACCACTTATGGGTCAGTTTCCCCTCCACACAGTGAGATCCCTACAGATACAAAAGGTCTCATTTATTTTTTTAAATCCCTAGCATCTAGTATAAAGTATCAATGTATTTGTCTCAAATTGATTTTTTAAAAGTATATTGTTAAGAGATTGAACAGACAATCATAGACTGTGGGAAAATATCTCTGCAAAACACATATTTCATTAAGGACTGGTATCCAGAATACACAAATAACTTAAAACTCAACAATAGGAAAACAAACAACCCAATTAAAAAACAAGCACAAGCCGAAACCGGTTTGGCTCAGTGGATAGAGCGTCGGCCTGCGGACTGAAAGGTCCCAGGTTCGATTCCGGTCAAGGGCATGTACCTTGGTTGCGGGCACATCCCCAGTGGGAGTTGTGCAGGAGGCAGCTGATCGATGTTTCTCTCTCATCGATGTTTCTAACTCTCTATCTCTCTCTCCCTTCCTCCCTGTAAAAAAATCAATAAAATATATTTAAAAACAAACAAACAAACAAAAAAAACAAGCACAAGTTTGAGTGGCATGGCTCAGTGGTGGAGTGTCGACCTAAGAACCAGGAGGTCAGGGCACATGGCCGGGTTGCGGGCTTGATCCCCATTGTAGGCTTGCCGGAGGTAGCCCATCAATGATTCTCTCTCATCCTTGATGTTTCTATCTCTCTCCCTTCCTCTCTGAAATAAATAAATAAAAATATATATTTTAAAAACAGGCATAAGATTGGACCCCTCATGGCAAATAAGGTCATGAAGCCCTAGTTGGTTGTTTAGTGGTTGTTTAGGCCTGTGGACTGAAGGGTCTGGGGTTCTATCTGTTCAAGGGAATGTACCTCAGTTGCAGGCTCCATCTCCAGCCCTGGTCAGGGTGTGTGCAAGAGGGAACCAATTGATGTGTCTCTCTCACATCAATGTTTCTCTCTCTGTCTCTCCTCCTCCCTTCCACTCTCTAAGGGCAACAGAAACTCATTCATTGTTAATAGGAACTGAAAATGGTATAACCACTTTGGAAGACAGTTTGGCATACTCTCACCATATAATCCAGCAATTGCATTTCTTTGTATTGACCCAAAGGAGTTGAAAATTCATGACCACACAAAGACCTGCACACAGATGTTTATAGCAGCTTTATTCATAATTGCCAAAACTTGGAAGCAACCAAGATAGCTTTTAATAGATAAATGAATAAACAAATGGAGGTACATCCATACATTAAATATTATCCTATACAATAAAAGGCCAGTGACCGTAACAGCATAATGACTACAAAGACCGATTGACCAGTCGCTATGAGGTGCATTGACCATCTCTTGGTCCCTCCCCCATTCCCACAGGCTCCAATCGCTGGATGATCAACGGGGAACCGGGGTGGGTGGTGGCGGGGCGGGACTGGGGACTGGTGAGCGGGCAGAAGATGGCCCTGGTCGCAGGCTAGGCCTAGGGACCCTACCCACGCACCATTTAGTGCACTGGGCCCCTAGTTCATTAGTAAAAAGAAATGAGCTATCAAGCAGCAAAAAGACATGAAAGAAACTTAAGTGCATATTGCTAGCAAAAGAAGCCAATCCAAAAAGGCTATATACTATAGGATTCCAACTATGTGATATTCTGGAAAAGGCAAAACTGTGGAGACAGCAAAAAGATTAGTGGTTGCCAAAGACTTGGGGAGGAGGAAGGAAGGGAGGGAGGAATAGATGGAACATACAGGAATTTTGAGAGTGAAACTATTCTGTGTATACTGTAATGGTGTATATACATCATTACACATTTGTTAAAACCCATAGAATATACAACACGAAGAGCGATCCCTAACATAAACTATGGACTCTAGTTAATAATAGTGTATCAATATTAGCTCATCAAATAACAAATTGTCACATTTATGCAAGATGTAAATGATGGGGGAAAGTATCTGTGTCTATGAGCGGGTGTGTGTGTGTGTGTGTGTGTTGTTGTTTTGCTTCATCTCTTCACCTTTTTTACCAAGCTCCTAACCCCCTTCCTCTCTAACAGCTGTCAGTCTGTTTTCTGTATCTATGAGTCTGTTTCTATTTTGTTTGTTTATTTTGTTCATTAGATTCCACATATAAGTGAAATTTTATGGTATTTGTCTTTCTCTGACTGGCTTATTTCACTTAGCTACCTGGCCAGTGCTGCTTCCACTTATTTGTATCTTTTCAATTTCTTTCTTCAGTGTCTTATAATTTTCCAAGCACAGGTCTTTTATATCATTGGTTAAATTTATTCTAAGGGCCCTGACTGGGTAGCTCAGTTGATTAGAATATCGCTGTGGTATGCCAATGCTGTGGGTTCAACCCTCAATCAAAGAACATAAAAGAAGCAACTAAGAAATGCATAAATATGCAAAACAACAAATCTCCCCCTCCCTTCCTCTTTCTAAAGTCAATCAATAAAAAAATTTATCCCATTGCATTTTTTTCTGATAGTTCATTATTGGTGTATAAAAATGCATCTGGATATTTATTATGTTTCCTGATACTTTACTGAATTCATTTATCAGATTGAGCCCGCAAACCGGGGCATGTGCCCTTGACCAGAATCAAAGCCGGGACCTTTCAGTCCTCAGGCTGATGCTCTATCCACAAAGACACACCAGCGTGGGCCAGCCTGAAACACTTTAAACAACAGGTGTTTAAAATATGTTGCAGGGAGCAGCCGGGAAGAAGTCAATGGGGGGGGGGGGGGGGAAAGAACATAAAAGAAGCAACTAAGAAATGCATAAATATGCAAAACAACAAATCTCCCCCTCCCTTCCTCTTTCTAAAGTCAATCAATAAAAAAATTTATCCCATTGCATTTTTTTCTGATAGTTCATTATTGGTGTATAAAAATGCATCTGGATATTTATTATGTTTCCTGATACTTTACTGAATTCATTTATCAGTTTGAATAGTTTTTTGGTGGAATCTTTAGGGTTCTATATATACTATATTATCATGTTATCTACAGTTATTGTGCTGGTGGCTGCAGCGGCCCACGTAAATTTTTTGGAAGCAGTGTGTTTCTATATGGAGGACAGCCTGAAACACTTTTTATTTTTAAAATATATATATTTTTTATTTCAGAGAGTCAGGGAAAGGGAGAGAGACAGAAATATCAATGATGAGAATCATTGATCAGCTGCCTCCTGCACGCCCCCTTGGGGGATTGAGCCCGCAAACCGGGGCATGTGCCCTTGACCAGAATCAAAGCCGGGACCTTTCAGTCGGCACGCCAACACTCTATCCACTGAGCAAAACCGGCTAGGGCTGATGCTAGAGTTTAAATGAAAAAAACAAAACAAAACAAAACAAAAACAACACCACAAAAGAGACATATGTAATACTTTCAACAATAAAGAATTTAAATTTAAAAAAGTATGCTGCAGCAATTACTGAAGGAGGTGGACTGGGGCAAGCTCTCGGAACTCTGAGACTGGGGACCTCATCTGATATCTTTTTGTCCAGTTTATAAAATGTATTGAGCCTCCATTTGCTGGGCATCTTCCATGCGCTCCATCTACCGTTCTGCACCCTGCTTTATACCCACGTAGGCTGAGCTGCATGGTTAGGTTCAGCCAAAGAGCACAAGTGGCTATTTTGAAAACTCACAAGATACCCAAGGGCAAGAGGAGAGTGAGGTCAAAGTTTTCATTCTCACCACTCCTGCCACCTCACCATGGGTGCCTGCCTCCCTCTATGCTACACCCATGCCAGGCAGCCCTCTCCCCTTGAGCCTGCAGACCCAAGGCTCTGCGCCAAACCATTTTTTTAACCTTGCCCATTTCTTTGCAAATAGTCCCGTTCTGAAACGCTCCTCAAATTACCCAGTTTGAAAGTGCCACTTTTTTTTTTTCCTGCCAGTAGTCTGATACAACTCAACCCTGACACTGCGCGTGACCAGAACTGTGATCGTCACCAAAAAACTTTTACAGATGAGGAAACTGGAGTCACGGGCTTAATTACGTAGCTAGATGAGAACCACCAGACTATTAAAAGGAGCAGGGCCGGCCTGGAACCCAGGGAGGTCTTACGCCATAAACAGCTCCCTGCTCTGGAAGCCGCTTTAGGGACCCTCCACGCTGGGAGAAAGGCTTGGTAAAGGACGGAGGGATCAGGGAGGGATTAGCACTATGCTTCTCCACTGATCCCCTTAATTACTAGTTACACAGATTTTAGCCTGTGCCGGAGGTTGACGTCCCTAACCGCACCCCGCCCCTTGTTCAAAGGTCAACTGTGCACATCAGAGAAGCTTTTTTAGGAGTCCAGACTCCTGGAATGTTCCATATCTTTCCCAATCCTTTAACTCTCAGCGGTCTTTGTCCCTCTGTTTCAACACTCACCAGATCGGATTGCAGGGTTAGTAATTAACTCTTAGCAGAGGCTTTATCCTGTTCAGGCACCCGTGAAGTGCACCAATTCTATAAGACTTCACACAGCGACTTAGAAGGTGCCGACAAGCCCGCCAGCCCGGTGGCACGCAGTGAGCGCCAGGGGCCCAATAGGTGATCCCCGGGGAGGTGAAGGGACGCCAGGCCCCGCCCTCGACTCCACCGAGCCCGGCCGCCCCTGCTTCTCCGAGACCGCGATGGCCGCGACCGTGACGCTGGAGCCCGCGGGCCGTA